GACAGGATAGTGGTCTTCCAATATTTGAGGGGCTGCCACAGAGAGGAGGAGGGGGGTCAAGCTATTTTCTAAAGCTCCCAAAGGCCAGAGAAGGAATAATGGATGGAAACTGAACAAGGAGAGATTTAACCTGGAAATAAGGAGAAACTTTCTGACAGGGAGAACAATCAACCCATGGAACAGCTTGTCCTCGGAAGTTGTGGGAACGCCATCAGTTTTGACTTTCAAGAAAAGATTGGACTGCCATTTGTCAGAAATGGTGTAGGGTCTCCCGCTTGGGCGGGGGGTTCGACTAGATGGCCTACAAGGTCCTTTCCAACTCTGATTATCTGTATCTGTATTCTTTAGGAACCTGGGGCTCGCCCGGCGGTGCGTCTGAAGTGGTAGCTGCTGCTTTGGGTGTGGGCCCCTGTTGGGTGGCAGTCTTTTTTCAGGAGGGACCAGGAGCTGCGGGCCGATGCCGATTATGGTTTTCTGGTCCCCACCTTCCCATTTAATGGTAGGGGCCCAATTTGTTGAGCCAAGCAAGCCCACTTTATAGCATGTAATGGATTACCTTCCAGATCTTTTTGAAGGGTAGCAGTATCGTCTGCGGTATTGAACAGCTTTACATCATCAGCAAAAAGAACGCAGTTGCTCTTAATATGATCACAGAGGTCATTTATGTAGAGTATGAAGAGAGCTGGTCCTAGAACACTGCCTTGGGGGACACCACTGTTGACAGGGACAGAATTTGATAGGACACTCCCAATTTTGACCATTTGTTGTGTGTTTGATAGGAATGCTTCTATCCAGTTATGCAGTTGTCCAGAGATACCATAAGATTTTAGTTTTAGTAGTAGTTTGTGGTGTACCACTGAATCAAAGGCTTTACAGAAGTCTATGTAGATTGCATCTATTGCTTTGCCCTGATCGAGTTGTGTCGTCCATATGTCTTTGCAGTATAAGAGTTGCAGATTACAGGATAGTTTTTTTCTGAAACCAAATTGTTTATTGGAGAGTAGGTTGTTTGTTTCTAAGTGGAGGATAATGGATTGGTTAATAATTGATTCCATGACTTTACAGGTGACGCAGCATAAGGAGATTAGTCTGTAATTTTCAGCTAGGCTGGGGTCTCCCTTTCTGAAGATGGGGATGACTGTGGCTTGTGACCATAGTTTTGGCAAGGAGCTGGTCCTGAAAGATTTTTCAAAGATTATGCTTAGAGGTTCGGCTATGGCAGTGGATAGCTTTTTTAAGAAGTAGGCACATATTCCGTCCAGTCCAATAGATAGAGATGGTTTTAGATTGTGTAGTGCTTTTTCAACATTGTCTTCTGTAAAATCGATATGTATGAGATCATTGTAGTTATCTGTGGTTCGGCTAGGAAATACTGGGCATGATCCATTGCTGTTTACAAATACTGAGCCGAAGAATATGTTAAAGATGTTGGCTTTAATGGTGTCGTCGTTGCAGTCTTTACCATTAGGTCCTATCAGGGGTGGGGTGGACCTTGAGTCTTTTAGTTTGTTGTTTACAAAATTGTAAAAAGCGCGGGTGGAATTGGTGCATAGAAGGTTTTCCTCTTGTTTAATGTGATAATTGGTGCATTCAGTCTTTATCTGGTGGCATAAATTTTTGTATTGGCTTTTGAAATTGGCAACGTGACCAGATTTGTTGATGAGATCGAGGCAGTTGTTCTAGTGTTGTTGGTTACTAGTTGTTCCAGTCCCAGATTTGTAACAGCATCGTAGAAGGTTGCGTGTATGGTTTCAGTTGTACATTCATTTAAGGTCCAGTCAATATGAGGTAGATTGAAATCACCAAGAAAGATAAAAGGGTATAGGCAGGATGCTGCCCATGTTAGTAGCGTATTTAGCTTGTTTACATGTTCGATGTCATAATCAGGGGCTCTGTAACATAGTAAGAATTGAATTGTGATATTTAAGGATAGTTCACAGATGATGGTCTCAAGAAGAGCAAGCTCCTGGGTAACTTGGATATTTTTTAGATGTAAGGACTTTTTATAGAAGATCGCAACACCACCTCCTCTACGGATTTCACAATCTGATCGGTAAACATGATAGTCTCTTACTGTGGTAATGGAGTCAGGGAGAGATGCGTTGAGCCATGTTTCACAGACAAATATAATGTTGAATTTAGCCATATTTAGTAGGAGGAGAAATTCAGGTATTTTATTCGCAAGGCTTTCTTGCATTGAGTAGCTTGCATTTAAGGCCAGCAGTAGTTGGGATTGAGGTAGTTAGGGGCGTGCGTGCCTAGTCTTGGGTGATGGTGGATTGGTTGAGGTAGGGTTATGGTTGAAGGTTAAAGCTGAGTTGTGACTTACTTTTGATACAGTCAGCATGGTAGTCAACGTACAGGTCCTCCTCTCCATTGTCTAGATGGTTTTTGAGTTCAGTGCGGAGTACACGGGAGCGGGCACGTTGCTGTATGGTTAGGTCAGGGCAACAACGGAGGTTCTTATAGTTGGTGTTGGTTTTGGCGAGTGAATTTATGGTGTAAATGAATTTACGTTTGCTTGATTCATTTTTGCAAATGACCCTGCAGAAGCGTGGGGCCACAGAGCCGTCTCTGTTTTTGAGCTCTCGGCCAATGCAGGAAATGTCAAGTATTTCATCTGGGGAGATGGTTGATGCTTGATAATCACTGATGATGTTTCAGATAGTTGCGATGTCATCATTATCATTGATGCCCTCTAGACCAAATAAGATGGCGTTTGGACGTTTCCGTTCACGCTCAACAGCTTCTCTGATGAGGATTGGGATATCAATATTTGTCTGGGTTATGTTTTTTTGTAGATTGGGTTGTGGTTGTTGAGTAGAGATGTGGTTTGTAGCTATTGGGTGTTCAGGTTTTTGCGTTGTGTCTTTTTTTTCAAGGTTGGATAATCTTTCTTTTAAGGTGTCCAGGGATGCTACTATGGTGTCAAGGGATGTTAATCGTGTTTCAATGGTATCAACTCTTTCCAACAGATCCAGTTTGGGTCTGCATGATTTGCAGAGATATGGAAACTCATTGGATGATTCTAGGTATTGAATCATTTGCTCGGGTAATCCCAAGCAGTCACGATGAGCGTATTTGTTACACAGAGAACATTTGATGTTAATTGATAATATTTTATTTTCTTCGTCCATCACCTAATTGACTCTTGCTCTTTCAATCAATCATTTGACTATAGATTTATTCATTCATATTTTACGAGATAACCATAATTTACTTAGTTTATTTTACAACAATTCATATTATCCTCCCAAATCTATCCTAAAAACATTTTGTAGATATAATAAAAAAGAAATACATCATTATATATTTATTATTTTCTAAAAATCTACATATTTCATTACTGTATTTTATTATCTAACCATTGATAGAAAAGGTCCCAAATTTTATAAAATTGTTTATCCTCTTGTTCTCTAATTTCAAATGTCAATCTACTCATTTCAGCACATTCCAATATTTTCTTAATAATTTCCTCCTGCGATGGTATTTTCTCATTCTTCCAGTTTTTAGCAAATATAATCCTAGCCGCTGTTAATACATTTACAATCAGGTATTTCAAATCTTTGCTATATATTTCAGGTAAAATTCCCAATAAAAATATCTCTGGTTTCAAATCTATGTTTTTTTATCATTTTTTCCAACCACATGTGGATTTTAGTCCAGTATTTTTTAGCGTCCGCATAAGTCCACCACATATGGTAATATGAGCCAGGTGTCTGATGACATTTCCAACATTTTTCGGATTTATTCTTGAACATTCTTGCTATTCTTGTCGGGGGGAAATGCCACCTGTAAAACATCTTATACAAATTTTCTTTATAAGCTGTTGACATTGTCATTTTATAATTCTGAGACCACAATTTTTGCCATTTCTCTAAATCAATCCCATATCCCAAGTTCTTCCCCCAAGCAATCATAGTTTCTTTAACTTGGTCTTCTTCTAGTTTAATTTCTAATAAATATCCATACAGTTTTTTAATCACCTTTTCATCAGTACCTGTCAAAATCTTATCTAGATCAGTCAATTTATCATAGAAACCTTTTGTTTCAAAATCTTTATCATACCTTGAATGTATTTGCGCATATGAGAACCAATTCATCTTTATTCCTTGTTCCTCTTGTTTTTGCATAGATTTAAGTTCACCCTTTTCATTCAATATTTCCCCATATCTAACTGTTTGTTCCTTTTTATATATTATAGGATAAGAAAATGCTTCAATAGTCGATAACCAGACTGGAATTTTCAAATAACATTGTCTTTTAATCTTCTCCCAATTTAACCACAAAGACTCCCATATATAATGTCTTCTAAAATACCCCTGTATTTTAGTTCCCTTGTACCATAAAAAGCATGCCACCCCAACAACAAGTCACGTCCTTCTAATGTCAACAATCTAGTGTTTCTTAATGTTATCCATTCCTTGACCCACATCAGGTTTGTAGCTTGGTAGTACAACTCCCAATTAGGCAAACCAAATCCTCCTCTAATTCTAGCATCTTGCAAAAGTTTTAATTTTATTCTAGCTTTCTTACCTTGCCATATATATTTCAACACAATTTTATTTAAATCTTCAAAATAGTCTTTTCCAAGCCTAATTGGAATTGTTTGGAACAAATATAAAATTCTGGGTAATATATTCATCTTGATTGTTGAAATTCTCCCTATTTCTATCATTACCTTTGCCGTTTGCTTGTAGTATATAGCTTCTATTGCTTGAATAAATTTTCTAGCAAAACCCATCTGTTCCAACAATAATAACATGAATCGCCAATTCACATTATCAAATGCCTTTTGTGCCATTACTGACGGTCTCTTGATGTCAGTCTCTACAGGGTCTCTCTGCGTCGCGATGAGAATCACCTTCTCCACACCATGACTCAAGTCTCCCCACACCGTCACGCTTCTCTACAAGATGCGTGCATCTCTAAGGGTCATTCCAACAGCAAGAGGAGATAGCGTGAAACCCAGAGCGAGCTTCAGCACCTCCGTTCGTCCATATTTCATCACCGGAAGTCTCTGACCCTTCCCGCCTTAAGTGGTCAGTCCCAGCAGCCTCTCGCTGAATTCCCAGAGCTTCTTGGCCACTTGGTCATCACGGGCCTGTGGCCAGGGCACCTTCGGCCTGCAGTCCACAAAATACCGGCCGCTCAGGCTTTCGATGCCTTCCTCGGTGGCGCAGTAGATGGAGGTTTGGGCACCCGCACTGCAATCTCGTCTGAACCGCTTCATGAACCCAAACACCTGAAATACCCATCGTGGAAAAGAGCGACCAAGGTTGGTTCTAACAGATCCTGAAAGCAAAACAGTGTTGGTTGTGTGAATGGCCCTGGATGGAAGGAAGTACCTTCCAGAGTGACTCAAGAGAAGACGATCCCGAATGAACCCTTCACACAACCCCTGTTGCCCCTTTGGCAGCCTTGGGGCAACTTCTGAATAATTTTTGGAAGACACAAGAATGAAGTGAGTGTGCAGTGATGAAGGGAGTGTGCATGTTTGCTTGTGTGTGTATACATCTGTGTGCTGCATTGCACACTTATAATCCATTGCCATTGCACAGCTAATAGATTCAAATAGATAATACCACATAATGATCTTCTGTCTATTCCCTGAGTTAGTTAAAACAGTGCATGTCAACTCATAAAGCATTCCTATGCCTGTTTTCGAGTTGCCCTAAGCAATATTAAGACAGGGTCTTATTCTGGGGGAAACACAGTACCAGGGAAGCTGTGAGTTGTGCAAACTTGTCTGTCCCAGAAAGGGAAAAGGACGAGACGGAAGACACCAGGGTGAAGGGGGAACTCGAAAGGGAGCCTGGAGCAGCCAAGCGCAGCATCTGACCTAAAGCTGCTGTGGACAGGAACCGATGCTGCCGCCCGTGATCCCCAACGTGCGGCAAATGGCTTTGCCAGATGGAGCCAAATTTGGTTGGTCAAGGGGATTTGGCAGACTGGAAAAGATGGAAGAATCCCCTCCAGGAATCACCGTCGGCCGAGGACTCAGACCCAATGTCCACTGCCGGGCAGAGCTGTTTGAATCAGTTCGGAAGGATCCCCCGAGTCACCAGCACAAACTTCCTTAGAGACAACTTCCCGGAGGTTAGGCTCTGCGACCGCCCAAACCAACAAGCCCCAGCTCAGGCGCCAAATCCAGTGGGAGCAGCTACTCAATTTGTTCCCGATCCACCAATACCGCCTATCCCGCTGGCACCAGTATTGCTGGCTAATTCTGCTGACTGCCATCTGCCAGTAGTTCAATTCTCCTCTTCGTCCGCCCCTTCCCTCCCCGCCCAGTCAGTCCTTATCGCGCACGCGTGACATAGCTGATTGCATTCTCCCCGCCCAGTCGCTCCTTAAGGTATTTCTTTTTTTCTCGCCGACAATCAGCTGTTCCAACAATCAGCTGTTCCAACAATCAGCCGCGCCAGGATCCCCCTCGCTCTCTTACTGCCTCATCCACTAGATTTCCCTGAGGCCCAGAAGGCCCCAAAATGGAGCACCAGGAGGGTGCTGCAAAAAAGCCATGCCCACCCAGTCATATGGCCACACCCACCTAGCCCCACCCACAGAACCGGTTGTTTAAAAATTTGAATCCCACCCCTGGGGTTGAGGGAGCCCCTACTGGGAGAGAAATGCCTGGCGGCACCCCAGATGGACTTGGGTGGGGCTCCCATCTGGGGGGCCTTGGAGCTGGACTTCCACTCACCTGGATGAACAGCGTAGCAGGTGACGTTGGTTCCTTCCAGCCTGTTGGCCAGCTCTCTGGCGTGGAGAATGTTGGCTAGTTTGCTGTTGTTGTAGGATGTTAGCATCTTCCATAACCCCTTTCCCGGCTTGTGGATGGTCCGAAAGTCGATCTTCCCAAAGATATGCAAACTCGAGGATAGAATTACGATCCGGCTCGGGGCGCAGCGCTTCAGCCGGTCCAGGAGCAGGTGGGTCAGCAGGAAGTGGCCCAAGTGGTTGACCTGGAAGGCCTGGTCAAAGCCATCGGCGGTTTGGCCGGTCGTAAAGACCCCTGCCAGAAAAGTAAGCGGGTTACAGGCAGTCCTCGGCTTACGACGGGTCAATATTCCCCCTCCCCCTTTCCCCATCTGGAGACCCTGGGGAGGGTCTGCTCTGGCCCCACCTGCGTTGTTGATGAGGATGTCCAGACGGGGCTCCGATGCTAAGAAGGTCTGCGCAAAAGCTCGCACGGAGTTCAGGCTGGCCAGATCCAAGATCATCAGGATCACCTCCGAGTTCCCGCTTTCCTGGAAAAAGGAGCGGGACAATCACAAATAGTGATCCCATGATCCCGGGACACTGCCACCATCGGAAATATTGCTGGTTGCCAATTACCCAAATCCCGATCACATGACCCTGGAGGTGCTGCGAGACAGTCGGAAGTGAGTGGATTGGTCATAAATCACTTTGATTCATCCCTAAACAAATGATTATAGGTCAAGAACTGCCTGTATTGTTTTATTATGCACTGGAATCCGTCTCTGAAACCACACTGGATTCCGAAGCTCACGATTCCTCCCGCTGCTTTTCCAGGAAATTGGGTAATTGGCAACCACCAATATTTCCGATGGCGGCAGTGTCCCGGGATCATGTGATCACTATTTGTGATTGTCCCAAGAGGATTCAGACAAGAAAAGTCAATGTGGGGCGGAAGCTGGATTCACTTAACAACCATGTGATTCACTTAACAACTGTAGTGATTTGCCTAACAACCATGGCAAAAAAAATTAGGTCTGGCTGACTTAACAACTGTCATGACTATCTCTGCTCAATCCCTAGGAAAGAAAAACCCTCGACTCCCTAGAATCAGAGAAAAGGTACTTTAACTAGGAAAGAATTGAATACAGCTAAGTCAGGCAAGATCTGAAGCAAACACGCCTGAAGCCCCAAATCGAAACAAACCCTAGAGCCCACCTACCCCCAGGAACCAGGCAACCAGAATGCAACCTTGGGCCAAGATGTTTTGGGGATGTCTCTGATTCAGGTGCACCGTTCCTTCCTTCTGCGTATCGAAACTAGGACAGTCGGCCTTAAGGATGGTAAGCAAAACTCCAAGTCCCATCCGTTCTCAGTGTCTCTGATCTCATTTGGACATTTGCTGTGCAGTTGCCTGACCCTTGATCCAACAAAACCACTGCCAGGAATGCGGCTTCCCTGAAAAACATGGAGCCCCCTGAAGAGAACCAGGCCAGGTCATGACAAGGCAAAGCTCTTTAAGTGGAGAATGGCCGAGAGTCCCACAATGCGACTCGGGTGCCTCAGAACTGATAGGACATTGAAGAGAGTAGCTGGAAATGTAAACTGTACAGTTGCAGTTGATTGGTTGGGAGAGTGGTAGCTCCTGCGTGAGGCAATCCGCGCTATGATTGGTTGCCATATAAAGGGGGAGTTTCCCTTTTTTCCCGCCTTTTTCTCCTGTGGGTTCTGTATGCTGTTTATATTTACCTCATGATGTTCCTGTGCTGCTGACTATCTTGTCTGCTGTAGTTACAGATGTTAAATATACGTATTTATATAAAAGTGTCAGTTTGTGTCTCTGAATTCATTTGGACGGTTGCTGCTCCGTTGCCTGACCCAGATCCAACAAAACCACTTCCAGGAACGCAATTTCCCTCAAAAATATGGAGCCTCCTGAACAGAACCAGGACAGGCTGTGAAAGAATTCAAGGCAAAGCTCTTCAAGTGGGGAATGGCTGAGGATCCTGCAATGCGACTGGGCTGCATCGGAACAAACCCTAACACACATAGTCCAAGACTGTCCCCTCAGGAAATTTCAAGGCACCTGTGACGGTCTCATTGCAATCACACCAGAAGCCGTTAGATGGTTAGGTATCAAATTACAAGTAGTCCTCGACATACCAGCACAACTGAGCTCCAAATTTCTGTTGTTAAGCGAGAGTTGTTAAATAAATTTTGCCCCAATTTAGGACCTGTCTCGCCGTTATTGCTAAGTGAGTCGCTGCAGCTGTTAAATTGGTAACGAGCAGTGGCAGGATTCAAAACTTTTTACTATGGGTTGTGGGTGATTTGATGGGCGTGGCTAGGTGGGTGTGGCTTTTTTTTGCTTTTTTGCAGCCAACCCTCCCCAACCACTTTTTGGGGTGTTCTGGGCCTCAGGCAAACCTCCGGGGGGGGGCATTTCTGCTCCCAGGAAGCTTCCGTGGGGCTCAGGAAGGCAAAAAATGGAGAGGGGGGGTGCTGTGACCCTCCCTCTATTTTTTGCCTTCATGGACCTCAGGGCATCCTCCAGTAAGACAAGCTAAGGGAATCCCGGCACAGCTGATCGTATGAACAGCTGATTGTCAGGAGCGGCGGAGGGAGAAATACCTTCAGGGCGAGCATTAGGCGGGCAGGGCAAGTGAGCCAGCAGCGACCAGGTGACCGGGTCAGGGGCGTGGCCAGCCAGAACTTACTACTGGTTCGACGACCCACGCCAAATCTTTGCTACCGGTTCGCCTGAAACGTTGCGAACCGCTAAATACCACCCCTGGTAACGAGGTTGTTAAGTGAATTCCCCGTTGACTGTGTTTGTCAGAAAGTTGCCAATGTGGATCATATGACCCCGGGACACTGCAACCTTCGTAACTATGAGTCAGTTGCCAAATGTCTGAATTTTGATCCTGTGAACACGATGCTGCAACGGTCGTGTGAAAAATGGTCCCAAATCCCTTTTTTCAGTGCCATTGTAGTTTTGAACAATCACTAAATGAACTGTTGTAAGTCAAGGACTACCTGCGTAACGTCTATCCCATTGTGACTTTATGGGGCCATATTATGGAGATTTTCTCATGATTTTACTCTAATATTTTTCCTCCTCTGCTATCTAATTATTTGATATACACAGTGGTGGAATGCTACCGGTTCCGCCCAGTTCAATAGAACCAGTAGCTCTGAAGAGCAGCAGACACCAAACCGGTTCGGTGCGATGACCTTTTGGTCGTCTGTTTGGCCCACCTGCCCACCTGGGCTCTTACCTGTCCTTTATTTCCTGCTTTTTCAACCTCAGCTGCTTTGCGCGGCACAGCTAAGGTTGAAAAAGCAGGAAAGAGGAGGATTTTCAAACGCTGCGTCCCTGCATGCAGTGCTTGTCAGCTATTCCAGGTGGCACAGCTGATTTTATTTTATTTTTTGCAATTGTTTACACGCGCACAAAATGAACTCTGACCAAACTGGTAGTAACACTGGTTGAATCCCACCCCTGGATATACAAAAATTTGTTGATGTGTTATTTAAACATACAATTTGTGTTTGTGCGTAGAATGTGTTTTATCCATGTTGCGTATCACAGATCGCATGATCTCTTTAGATGCCACATGCTAAATAACTGAATAAAAAACATCAGGAAAACACCTGGATGTAGAAGAACGGCGGAAAGGAGAGAACCGCACGGCTTACCCGTCTGATATCGTACATGGCCGATTCTCCTCTCGCTTTGTCGCGGCATGCCAGAATGACACGGGCGCCTCTCCGGGCCAGATCCACCGCTGTGGCCTTCCCGATCCCTGCATTTCCACCTAGGAAAGGGCAGAGAAAGGATTCACAGAGATCACCCAGCCTTTGATGGGGATCCAGGAGCCAGGCCTGCATTCCTGGGCCTGCAGTTTTTGTGGTGTCGCACAGTGAAGCCTTACGTCGGCAGTGTTTCTCAACTGTGGCAAGAGGGGTGGAGTTCAACTCCCAGAATTAAAGTTAAGCAACATCTTACAACTGCACAGGTTGAGAAATTCTGGCTCAGGGTATGATTTTTCGAGCAACCTAGCATCAACGAAGAAGAAGAATGGATTAAAATTACTCAAGTATAATACAAAAGGTCTTTTTTGGCAGCAGCCAAAAAACCCAATGCAATCCTAACTTGCATTAACAGTGGGATACAATCGAGGTCAAGGGAGGTACTAATACCACTCTATAAAGCCTTAGTAAGGCCACACCTAGAGTCCTGCATCCAGTTTTGGTCACCACACTATAAAAAAGAGGTCGAGATTCAGGCTCGACGCTGAAGCGCCCCGCTCCTTTGGATATGGGGCTGAAGCCGCCCCGTAGAGGGGGCGAAGAAGGGGGAGACTGCTAGCCGAGTGGAGGGGAGCCGCCTCTCTCCTCCTCGGCTGGCCATTACTCCCTTTCCTGAAGGCGGTTGCAGCAGAGGTCAGAAATGGCCACCTCAAAGAAGAACTCGACCGGAAAAGAATGAGCAAGAGGAAGATGAAGGAGAGAGAGCTTGACAAACCAGGCTAAGCAGAGGCAACATCTATGCAAGGTACCCTGGAATTTAAATTATCAAGAGTGTTATTCCTAAAAGAAGATCGTTAAAGCGGCGGAGAAGAGAGGGAAAGGGGGGAAAAGTTTAGTTGTTTTTGTTTTTTTTGTTTCTCACATGAACAGCTGCATTGGCTCTGAATGTTAAAAAGAAGAGACTTAAGCAAAAAAAAAATGTGTTAATCTACTTTGACACGAACAGGCAATTTTAAGCTGAACTTCAAGCGTCAAAGGGAAAATCAAGACTATTTGAATATTCTAAAGCCTTTAAAACAGCGGTTGCTAACTGGTGGGCCATGGCCCACCGGTGGGCCGTGGAAAAATTTTGGTGGGCCGCCGAAGAAATGCCCCCCCCCCCCCAAAGCAATTAATCTGGGCCGTGCAGTTCTCTTGCCTCCTGGCTCTTTGAGGGACCCTGGAGTCAGGTTCCCTGAGATGCATGCGCCAACCAGCTCCCGCACACGGCGCCGGCGGCAGCGGCAACCACAGTCCCCACACCCAGCACCTGCCGTTAGTTCTCCCCATTAGTTCTCTAGCTTTGAATTGCTCCCGCCTCTCTTTCCTCCCCCCTTCCTACCCCCGCCCCCCACATGGAGCTTTGCGCAGCTCTCAGGTCTTCCAGCCCTCGCTGCCTCTCCCAACATCGAAGCCTCGGAGATGCAGGCAAAGCCGGTGCAGCGGTAGCATCCTGAGTTGCCTTAGCATGCTCCGTTAGTTAAGAATCGCTCTACCCACAGAAGGAAGTGGCGCTGGAGGAGGAAGAGGAGGAGACAGTAGCGGAGAAGCAAGCAACTCAGGGCGCGACCGCAGTGGCGGCTTTGCCTGCGTCTCCGAGGCTTCGATGTTGGGAGAGGCAGCGAGGGCTGGAAAAGGGGAGACCTGGGCACGGCTCCGTCTCCCTTTCCTGCCTGCACGTGGGTGCAGTGGCGGGAGGAAAAAGAGAGAGAGAGCCGGGAGCAATTCAAAGCTAGAGAACTAATGGGAAGAACTGACAGCGGGCGGAGGGGACTGTAGTTGCTTCCGCCACCGCCATGTGTGGGACTGTGCATCTCAGGGACCTGGGCCCAGAGACATGGGGACTGCAAGCGGGAGTGTTTGGTGGTTTTTAAGATCTCCTGGAACGCGATAGATTGGCGTTTTGTAGGTCTCGGTGAAAGAGTGAATTTTGTCGCACCTCCTTTCCACCCCAGGTAATGCGAGAGACGCTTTCTTTCTCTCTCTCTCTCTCTCTCTCTCTCTCTCCCCTCCCCTGCCCCCAAATAATCACTGGCTGTGGCTGGGTTTGGCAGCGGAGTGTTAAAGCGAGCGAAGTGCCCCCAGGGACGCCTTTCCTCGCCTGTCTCCAGGTGAGGCTGGGATATTAAGAGTGAGGAGTAAGGCAGACTATTAGCAAATAGCCCGACCCTGCAATGTTGAAGTCGAAGGCTCAAAATGAACTAAGTCTTGCAACAGGTGTCAAAAATAACAGCAAAAAAGTTTCTTTCAACATGTAAAAAACAAGGGAAAAATGGCAAGAGGGAGAAAGCAGAACTGCTCGACTCATTTCTGGCATCCGCCTCCACACAAACTTCCCGCGCTCCGAGATCACCGCAGACGGGCAAATACCACAGCAAAGCCATGACATATTTAATAATGCATGTACTGACAGCGACGAGCACGGTCTACGCACCATATTGGAAGCGTGAAAATACACCACTGGAAAGAGAGAGAATAAGAGAAATACTGGCTTGTGCAGGACTTGACAGACAACTCTAGAACTGAAAAATAAGGGGGAATTGGAAGATTGTGATACCTGGAATAAATTCCATCAACGGTTGCAAAAGAGAGGCGAAGGTCAGACCCGAAACTGTTAGGATAAATAGACCTAGAATGCGAATAGCGTAATAATAATGTGAATGGTAATGGTTCAGTAATATCTTTCTATGTATGGCAGAGCAATGCCAGAATGGCCACACCGTGTTTGATATTTATAGTTGTAAACAATAAAAATATATTACAAAATCTGCCCAATAAAAAAAAATCACTGTACAAAAATTGGTCCTTGACTTATGACGAACACAACGGGGAGCAGAATTTCTGTTGTTAAGCAAGGCAGTTAAGTGAGTTGGGCTTGATTTTATGATCTGTTTTGCCACAGTTGTCGAGCGAATCTCCCTGGGTCTTTGCTTGTTGGAAGCCAGCTGGCAAAGTCACAGACGGTGACCAGGTGACTCCAGGATGCTCAAACTGCCATCAACACATACCGGATTCCAGGTGCCTGAATTCTGATCACCTGACTGTGGAAATGCTATGACAGTCGCAAGTGTAAGCACCGGTCATGCGTCACTTCTTTCAGTGCTCTTGTAACTTCAAACGGTCAATAAACGGATGGTTGTAAGTCAAGGTCTGCTTGTAATCGGAAGCCTGCTTTCGGTTACCCCAAAGTCCATTGCTGCCCCTTTTCCTCCTATGAAGACGGAATATTTTATTTGGCCAAGTGTGATTACACAACGGACGAGTCTCTGCTGCGGAAGCCCTCCGCATATAAGCAAAACGACGGTCAGAACGATACCAGCACTAAGAGCGGGCCGTAGAGAAGGCAATAAGAAGATCCAGGAGAGATTCAACCTGGAAATAAGGAGGAATTTTCTGACAGGGAGGACAATCAACCCATGGAACAGAAGTTGCCCTCGGAAGTTGTGGGAGCTTCATCCCTGGAGGCTTCCAAGAAGAGACTGGACGGCCATCGGTCAGAAACGGTGTCCGGTCTCCCGCTTGGGCAGGGAGGGATTGGACTAGATCAGTGGTCACCAATCAGTGGACGGGGGGCCATTGGTGGTCCATGAGAAAATTTTGCTGGTCCACAGAGATATGTCCCCGCCAAAGCAATTGATCCAGGCTGCGCGGGAACACAAGGCTGCGCCGCCCACATGGCCCAGGGGAACACAAGGCTTGCATCGTTTGCATTGTGAACAACATGTAGTGAGGGGAGGGGGTGAAGGGCGGAGGGGGGTACTTGCCCCACTTGCCCCACATGCCTGGCCTGGCCACTGGGCTACTTCTTTCCGCTTCTTTCTTCTTCTGCTTTTGGCTGCACGCAAGGAAAGCAGCCAAAGTCTTTCTTTCTCTCACCCAAACTCCGCCAGAAATGAGTCTTTGGGATCCTGCAAGGCCTCCTGCTCCAAGAGGCTGCGCCGACAAAGACTCATTTCTGGTGGAGTTTGGGGGAGAGAAAGAAAGACAGACTTCTGCGGCTTCTGCTGCTTTCCTTGCATGAAGCCAAAAGTCTCTCCTCTCTCTCTCTCTCTCTCTCTCTCCCTGAGAACGGAGCTGGAGACAGTATCCTGCGATCCCAAATAAAGAAGGATCAATCGGTAGGAAAACGGGGTGGGGAATTTTCCTGCAGACTTTTTGGGGGGATTTTCCCAGGGTCTCTGGTCCGCAGGATTTAAAATGACGACTTTGGTGGTCCCCGAGGTCCCAAAGGTTGGAGAGACCTGGACTAGATGACCTCCACGGTCTCTTCTAACTCTCTCCTCTCCTCACCAGTGGCTGTCCAGTCTTTCCTTGAATTCCTCCAGTGATGGAGCCCCCATAACTTCTGGAGGCCAGCTCTTGCACTGAATAATTATTCTCACCGTTCGGAAGTTTCTATTTGTTCCCTAAACTCTGAGCGGTTGTCTATAGGTATTGGAGTCCTTTGTGGGTCTTGGATTGTTTTCTTATGTCTCCTACATTGTAACTGGGATTCCCATCCCGTCTATTCTAGTCCCACCTTAGGCACGAAAGCTGGCTGGATGACTTTGGGCCAATCACCAGGAGACTGGGAGTTCTAGTCCCCTTAACCTCCCTTGCACATCTAAGGCAGAACTAGAATTTATCCTCTCCTGATTTCTATCCTGGTGCCTTCGCCACTAAACCAAACTTTCCTGTTTCTGGCGTAATCAGTTTTTTTTCACATTAGGAATTCTTTCATTCATCTAATTTAATTGGAATCTGCCTGCTGGCAACTGCTATCCCTGATCCTATTTCTTGGCCAACTTCTATGGGGATGTTTAACCTGCCGTCCAATTTGCTAAACTTCCCAGCTCCTCCAGTCTCTCTTCAAGGGCTGAACTGGTTTTTCTGCACCTTCTCTGAATTGCTCCTGGCTTCTCTCCATCCCAGGGAGGAGGACTAAGGCTTTGGGGAGATGTGGGGAGTGATGACTCCTGCGCCCGTGTAAAATGGGCCTTGGGTAGCCTGAAAAACCAGTCTCCAGCCCCCTTTGAGGCCAATCGACTGGCACCAACATCCGTCTCGTCTAACAAAGAGAAACCGGAGGCTGACGTGACAGCATCTGCCGGTATTTGAGGGGCTGCCTGCCCCAAAGGAGGAGGGGGTCAAACTATTCTGCAAAGCCCCCCCGAAGTCAGGACAAGAAGCAATTGATAGAAGCAGCTTCGAACGGAGGAGAAGCAGCGGGGACTGGATAGAGAAAACTATTCCGAAAAGGACTCCCTTAAATAGGAGCCATCCGTGTGCTGCAGCTGCCCCCAAAGCCGACACAATCCTGGGCAGCGAAGTGTCAACCTAAGGCCCTGCTAAGGCCACCCCTGGAATCCACGATATTTTTTTAAAAAAAGGATGTTGGGACTTTGGAAAGAGTTCAGAGAAGAGCAAAACAGAGACCATAAGGGGACTGGAGGCTAAAAGGAAGGACTAAGGATGACAGGGTAGCAGCCTCCCGGCATCTGAGGGGCTGCCCCCCCAAAGGAGGAGGGGGTCAAGCTCTTCTCCAAAGCCCCCGAGGGCAGGACAAGAAGCAACCAAGGACGGAAACTGACCAAGGAGAGAAGCGACCGAGAGGTGAGGAGGAATTTCCTGACAGGACAATTAATCGGCCTCCAGAACTTGGGAATGCCCCAAACACTGCAAGTTTTGAAGAAGCCATCGGACAACCCCGCGTCTGGAATGGAATAGGCCAGGGTCTCCTCTTTGAGCAGAGGTTGGACTAGAAGACCTCGAAGGTCCCTTCCGACTCTGTTATTCTGTTAGCCTGCCGAAGTCTGGCTCTCCCTTTCTGAGTCAAGGAGGTCCTTTCCCTGCGCCCCTCCGGCGGGGATCCGGCTCTTCTCGCCTCCCGCTCCTCTCGGGCTCGGAAGAGGGGAGGGGTCTCAAGGAGCGAGGCAGCCCCGGGGACGGTTGGCCTCCGCGGGGTCTCCCGGTTCGGTTCGGCCCCGGTTTCTCCCCACGGGGCTTTTTCTGCCCGGATTTCCTGGGTTGTGGCGAAAGGGCCTTTGGGTCAAGCAGGGCCTGGGTGGGCGGCATCTCCGCGGACAAACCCGGTTTAGCGTTGACTCGCGTCTCCCCCGGACGCTGCGCTGCGCTTTTGCCCCCCGCGAGTTCGGTCCTCCGCGGAGCCTTTGAAGTTGGGGGGGGGGAAGCGAAGAGAGAGAGCGAGAGAGGGAGGGAGAGAAAGAGAGAGAGAGAGCGAAAGAGGAAAAAGAGAAAGAAAAAGAAAGAGAGAGGGGGAGGGAGAGGAAGAGAGAGAGAGAAAGAGGAAAAAGAGAAAGAAAAAGAAAGAAAGAAAAAGAAAAGAGGGGGAGGGAGAGGAAGAGAGAGATAAAAAGAAAGAAAGAAAAAGAAAGAGAGAGAGAGAAAGAGAGAGAAAAAGAAAGAGAGAGAGAGAGAGAGAGAGAGAGAGAGAGAAAGAG